CTCTAAATGCACCCCCTCGGGACTGGGTTTGGAAGTGCATTTACAGAGGGTGTGCATTTGTAGAATTATATAGGGATTTCTCTAAATGCACTTTTCTTAAAACCAGGCTCAAATGTGCATTTAAAGAATTGTACTAATTTATATGAGTTTTTATAAAAAATGATATCAATATAGATTAACATTTTTATAAAACACATTTATGGTCATTTTGCACCTATTATTATACATGGGTGCCTAAATTATTTTTGAAAAATCACACTTTCGGCAAACATTTTGGCATTGCTAAATTTTTTATATAAACCCTTCGAAATAACTATATTATATGATGTATTTTGATCAAAAGAGTTCAAAAAATTTCACAATAATTTCAGTACTATATAAAACTAATTTCGGCTGCCTAAATGCAGTAATTACTTTTTTATTAAGATGGGCAATTTAGGCACCCATATATACCTATTATATATCGTATACTTTTTTAGGTTTTTATAAGTTTTGTACAGTATACAAATTTTTAGTATAAATTTTTCATGTTGGGGTTCATACTTGGTGGTAAAGTTAAGGTTTAGAAAGGGTTTTTGGGGATGTAGAGCCTTTTTATTAGAACATTTGCATATTAATTAATTAGTTAGTTTTTAAGATAATGCAATATAGATACGTAGTAAAATATTATAAGTGCATTTTAGCAAAAGTGTAAATTAATATAATGCCGCTATATGATTAAACCAATATTTTATTTATTCAAGTTTATACATATCAAAGACAATACCAATACATATCAATATAAATGTATAACAGAATATTAGTATGTACAACGTACATGTGTACATTATACATACTTGTAATACAAAACTAAAACATCAAATCATCCAGATCATCCAGCGATTGTAACTTTTCTGTTCCATCAACATTAATATTAAAATATTTGTCTATTTTAGATTGTGCTATCGAATCATTTTTTCTAGTAGTGATAAATTTTTCAATTATACTAACTAGCTTTATACATTCATTCGCACCTTCTTGCTGAAGTAAAAAGGTGTGTATATTATCTAGACTTTTAAAGGCTTACTTGGTTTTACAATTTCTTTTTTGACACTATCATCTGCCTCTTCTGGATCTTCATATTCCATTTCATC